TTGAGCAGTTTTCATACTTTTTACCTTTAAAAATATCGGACTGAAATGAATGTCATCAAATAAAACTATTGAACTGCTACTGCAGAGACGTAAAAACCATCCAGAAATGAAAGCTTCTTTTTTATTAAATATCCTGGAAACAATAGCCGATAACTTGTCAGCTCTAATTGAATTTACTCCCATATAAAAAACAAAAGTGTTAAGTTACCATTTGTAACTAAAGATAGCAAACATCTCGTGGGACAGAGTGGTGATGATTTGTCAGCTCTAATTGAATTTACTCCCTTGTGAAAAACAAGAGTGTCAAATTACCCTTTGTAACTAAAAAATTAAAATATCTCGTTATATTTGCATGCAACAAGAACAAAACAATCATTACTTGCACTTATTATGTAAACGTTAGAACTCTTTCAAATCTAGATAGTCTTGTCTCCTCTAAAACATGTCCTAAGAACTAGAAGCAATGATTCGTGACCTCTAAATGAATTTACTCCTTGTGAAAAACAAAGGTATCAATGTAATTGACTCCAGGCATGATTACTGCAAGTTGAGAATTACAAATTGAAGGACGTCGAAGCACTGATCAAGAGCACTACACTTCATGTTGATTCCAACGATTATCTTTATTACAATGATCCAACGCTCAAAACCGTCAAACTAAAATACAAGTAAAATATCTAGTCTAAGTGACATGAAATGACAAAGCCAAACAATAATTGAACATGACAAACACATGAACATAGGAAAAGGCAAAAGCAACTAAATTACAAATAAACCGACGAAATGAAACTAAGAAAGGTAAAAACATGCTTACCGATTGTCCTCTCTGTATGCCTGAGTAGTTATAAACGCAGGATCCAAAAACTTCGCAATAAACACAACAAACTTCGCAAATGCAACAACAGATCATGCACACGGACACACGAGGTTCTGAAATATGATCTGATGAAAACGTCACTAATATCTAACCTAGACAGTTACAATCAAGTTACCTTTGTAACTAAAAATGAAAATATCTCGTTCCATTTGCATACTACTAACTCACAAACTGTTTCAAACCTCAAGGCTCATCTCGTTCATAACTAAAA